TGTTGGAAAGGCTCTTCTTCTTCCACTTCCTCTTCCTCTTCAATACCTGGCTGCACCTGGGTAGGGGCCTCGGGAGGAGGCACCTCCTTCCGGAGAAAGTCCTTTCGAGTCCTCGAACGAGTTATCGGCCTCTCTATGAACTCTTCATCTGGTATTCCATCGCCACCAGGATCCTCTGGTTGTTTTTCAGGTGGAGCTTCAGCTGTTGGTTTAAGCCCCGGTATCGGCACGGGTATTTGTGGCATAGGCATTTGTGGCAGAGGTATTTCTTTCGGAGGTTCCTCTGGCGGCAAAACTACCTCCTCCAGTGGATATTCATCTTTTAGAACAGGCTTTTCTTCTGCTTCTTCTTCTTCTTCCCCTTCTTCTTCTTCTTCTTCCTCCTCTTCTTCTTCTTTTTCTGCCTTTTCTTTTTTCTCTTCTTCTTCTTCCTTTTCCTTTTCCTTATCTTTTTCTTTTCCTTCATCATCTTCTTCCGCTTCCTCTTCTTCGTCTTCTTCTTCTTCTTCTTCCTCTTCTTCTTCTTCTTCCTCCTCTTCTTCTTCTTCTTCTTCTGTGTCTTCTGCCTTTTCTTTTTCTGCTTTTTCTTTCTCTTTTTCTGCGTGTTCCTCGTCCTTTTCTTTTTCTTCTTCTACTTTTCCTTCTTCGCTTCCTGCTTCCTCTTTCGGTTGGGGTTCCCCTCGGGGGGGTTTAACTTCTTCTTCAACCTTCTTTTTGCGCTCTCTCTCTCTGCGAAGTATAATTGCCCTTATTAAGATTAAGAAAAGCACAATGAAAGCTATTATGTGGCCTCGATTCTTTGTAAGGAGTACCGTCGCCAGCTGGGTGCCGGTTGCTTCTTGCTGGGCAACCAGTTCTGCATATATTCTAGCCATCGTATCGCCTGGAACTCTTCTGGTGGTTTCCAACTCTGCATTCACCCCGGCGGCCTTCTTTCCTGATGCGCGTGATGAGTACACATATTGCTGCTCCAGAAGCCAGAGCGCAACAAATAACCAGAAATACCCGCGTAAGCCAGGCACATAAGACAACCGCTTCTTGCCCTTCATTTTCACAATGACGCCAGTCACCCGGAAGAGCATCCAACGCAGCAAACCCACGAGCACGTAGATCCCAATATACCCCTCCTAGGCTGCTCGCTTGTAGGGAGGTCGATTTGCTGAGGACCCCCAATACATTTCGAGAATAAATGAACGGTTCGGGAGCAGATCATTCAAAAATACTGCTATTTTTCAAGCGAACAACTCCGCCAAAATGAATAGAAAAGTGTAAGGAAGGAAGGGGGCAGCCGAAGAGCCAACTTGCAACCTGGCGATGTAGCTTGTGTGGGCCTCACGAAATTCTTTCTCAGAAGCTATTGACAGAGAAAACAACTGCTGATGGCCATTACAAACGAGAAGTAATTTGAGAGGGTTTGTTCTTAGACTCGAAACTTGTCAGTTCTCGAGTGCTGCATCTCTCGGGCTTACCGCTCACGACACGATCGCAGCCTCTGACGATCCCCGCGCTGCAGTTTGCTGAAGGTGTAGATCCAAGAAGTTCCCGCTTTGAAAACTTTCAAAAACCATTTGCTTGAATTTTAGTCGCTACGACAGCAAAATAAGTTGGTCCGTTCCTCAATATTCGCCGCGGTCTGCAGTTCCCTATTGTCTGGTGATGGTACGTGTATTTCTGCTTATGTACGAGAGGCCAACTGAAGAAAAACTAAGTGTTTAATAACTGCGTAGAGTGTTAGTAAATACATAAAATGGGGTCTTGGGCACCGATGAATTTGGGGTTGTCTTGCAGCAGGAGTTTCGGCACATTTGTAACGGTGCCTGTAGCATTAGCACAGGAGCCTTCATTTGGCCTTGGTAGGTTGCGTGTAGGCAAAGGCAAAGGCAAACGTTCTTAAAGTATATTCAGAGGTAAATCACGGAGAAAAGGAAACTGCGTTGAAGCTTCCGTGTGCGCGCGCGTGAGGCTGGCTGCATTGCCAAGCACGGGGAGCTGCGCTGCAACCTCATTTCAGGATGCCTCCTCCCCGCAGTACCCAGGCCCTGAGCTCAACGCTCAGACACTAGGCATGAGGACAGGGGAAGGAGGTCAGCTGCTTTGGGGAAACTCTTGCTTCAAGTCTTCACCTACATTGCAGCTCGCTTCTGCCCTTGATTAAAGCCAGAGAGTAAGCGCTATACTTGGTAGCACCGCATGTTTATCGGTTCAGGTGCGAGCACGGAGTCCAATCCCCACACGGGTGCCATCAAGCGTCGCTGAGAAAAAAAACGACGACAAACCAAAAATAGAACAGAAGAAAACAGAACCCATTTCCTTCTCTCGCACAGAACCGCTTTCAGTTTCAGGTGTTCCCTTCCAGAAAAGTGGAGACTGATTATAATTCCCTCACAGAGGTAGGGTGCGCGCACGGTCTAGGGTCTCACCAAGTAGCAACCAGCGCTATTGTTGTGCCCCATCCGCGGGAAAATGCATTCTCGCCGAAAACAATTCAGGAAGAG